TCGAGGCCAGCCTGGGCTACCGAGTGAGTTCCAGGAAAGGCGCAAAGCTACATAAAGAAACCCTGTCTCGAAAAACAAAACACAAAAAAACAAAAAACAAAAAACAAACAAATAAATAAACAAACAAACAAATAAATAAATAAATAAATAAAAATAAATATTAACCATTTATTACCTTGTGTTTCCTATTACCCTCCTGGAATTAATTTGTACTTTTGAAGAACTGATGTGTTGTCTCTGTTGCATTTGGAGCTTGGTTCTCAGAGTCCTGGGTTCTAAGTATGTGCCCTTGTTCATTTCCTGTCTTCTTGCTGAAATGAGGAATGGTTGGAGTTTTGTTTTTAACATTTAAACTTGAATATCTATGCACAGTAATACAGCATCTTAAAATTTTGCTTTTTTTTTCTTTATTGTATGTCATATAGTTTTATTACTTCTTGGAAGAATCTTTTCCTTCTCTTATTGTTTTGGGCTAGAGACTGTTAAAACAGTAGCATCAGTTGTTCAGAATAATAACATTTTATAAAGAAGCTTGGAAGCTTGATCCCATGAAGAAAAGTAGTTCTGAAGTTTTAATGAGGAATCTATCAATCATTGCAATTACAGTGTTGTTCAACTCTGCACAGTCAGAAAACAAGGCAGAATATTCCTCCAAATCAAATTTTAATGAATAACAAGCTGATATTTATTACAGCATTATTGTACTCTACTAGCCTTTAATTTTAAAGTTAAACTCCATCAACCATTTATTTAGTTAATAACTAAGGGCATTCCCCAATGTAAAAACTGACTATATTCTGTTTAATGAATGATTTTAAAACTTTTTTTCACAATAATAAAACTACTTTTAGTTGACTGACAAATTAATCCACAAAGTCAGATATAAACCAAGGATAATTTAACAACTTCAGTGTTAGAAATATTAAAAAACAATTGACCGTACCTTCAAAGTACAATTTTGAATTATTTGAAATCTGATGTCCAATAGAACACATTTTCCTTGATGTAATCAGCAAATCATATATCCTCACAACACTTCTGGGGTTTGGATGCTGAAATGCAATTTATTTAGACATGGACCGGTTAGGTAGAAAGCATCCTGGGTGAATTTCCATGGCTCCTAGGCCCATTCTGGGTCTTTGAGAAGATGATCCTAATTTTTCATAGTGTTTCATGTCTCTTCTCTGAAAATTGTCTCCATTGCTGACACAGACTTGCCATCTGTGATTAAAGGTTTTCTTCACAATTTTTGCATCAGAATGCATTCAGACACCAAAACATACCAGGTTCACTATATCACACTCAATTTTTACTTTTCTAAATCTCTTATTTTGTGGAAATCTGTCCTCATGTTGATCTCATAATATTGATGGAAGTAGAGAGAGCTTCTTGCAAAGAGCATAAAGTTGTGCAAGGGTAAGCAAAGCCAGAAAGTTAGTTTGAGTCTGTTCAGCCTTGACTCTCCATGCCAATGATTAGATTACTGCTCTCCATGATTCAATATAACATGTGATGAATGAGGGGATCCCTTTGAGCAGCTCTGTGAAGTTGGCACCACACTGGGAGGGCTCAGGTGAGATAGCACAGGAGGATCTCAGCAGTGCACTCTTGCAGAGCCCATTTGTATGTGGCCATCTGAGCAGAGGGATCTGGTGAAGCTATAAGTAAGACACAGACCAGAGAGGACCTAGGACTTAGGTCCTTGTTGCCACTTCCTAACTGTAATTTTGCTACTGCTTTGAATCAGGATGTAAATATTTAATATGCAGGACATCTGATAGGCAACTCTGTGAAAGGGTCATCCTCTCCCCAAAGGAGTTGAAACCCATGGGTTGAGAATTTCTGACCAAGATAGTCTTTCAGCTTTGAACTGATGCCATCCATATCTGAAAACTGGGTTGAATTCTTTGGCAACTCCTCCATCTTGTGTGATTTGCCTCTGCTTCCCTGTGGTCTATGCCATGTCAGTCTCCTACCCTAGCCCAAGTCACTCCTTCCAGCCCAAGGTGCATAAACCAGATCTGGCTTTAACAAACCAGGGAACTTCTTCACAGCCCCTGGAGGAAGAAACAAGAAACATAAAGAAGACTCATGAACCTAAGAAAGAATTAGCCCTTAAGGGATTAATGCACAGGCATTCCATTCTTGCTGTTTAAACACAGATAAATTGCTCTATATAGGAAAAGTTAGGGCAGCTGAGATGAGATCACTCTACTGGGATGTCCAAGAAACTTAAGCAGTGTGCCCAGAAACAATTGAACAGGCAGTAAAGGAGTCAGGGTGAAATGGAAACCTCTCTAGCCAGTGCTAATGGCTGTCTGTTCAGTTGGGATATCATAAAACAAGCCACAGCATATATGAATACAAAAGTATACTCCAATGTCCAGAATGTTTGTGTATTTGGGGGGAGGAAGTTGTTTGGCCAAAGCTGACTGACGTCTTTCAGCATTTGCTAAGCTGCATAATGATGACTATATACCCCATACTTCAGTGAGGTTCATTTATTGATTTATCCATCTATTTATTTACTTATATAGTTTGTAACTCATTCTAAACTCAGAGAGAAAAAAGGAAAACTGATATGTCTCAGAGAAAAATGCAAATATCAGCATTAGACAACTCACTGGTCATTGGTTTTTAAAATTTGAAATAAAAATATTACTTCCTACAAAAATCTCAATTTCTAAAATTCAAGTTGTCCAAAAAGGAAATGGCCTCCTACTTCAGCAAATCCTGAGTTCATTATCACTGAAGATGTGTAAGGACAAAAGAGACGCAGCTGCCACTCAAAAGAACTATAAGCACATGGTAAACAGAAGTCTTTTTTTTTAACGTTTCTATAGATGGTTTCTCTATTCCTTTATTTTTTTAATTTATTTTACAACACCATTCAGTTCAACATAATAGCCACAGATTCCCCTGTTCTCCCCCTCTCGCCCTCCTCCCCCTCCCCCCAGCCCACCCCCATTCCCACCTCCTCCAGATCAAGGTCTCCCCCGAGGACCGGGATCGACCTGGTAGACTCAGTCCAGGCAGGTCCAGTCCCCCACTCCCAGACCGAGCCAAGCATCCCTGCATAAGTCCCAGGATTCAAACAGCCAACTCATGCAACGAGCTCAGGACCCGGCACCAATGCACAGCTGCCTCCCAAACAGATCAAGCCAAAAGACTGTCTCACCCATTCAGAGGGCCTGATCCAGTTGGGGGCCCCTCAGCCTTTGGTTCATAGATCCTGTGCTTCCATTCATTTGGTTATTTGTCCCTGTGCTTTATCCAACCTTGGCTTCAGCAATTCTCGCTGAAGTCTTACAAGTGACAACTTTCATGACTTTTAGAAACTGAGAAATGTAAATACAGAAAGGGTCAACGCAGAGTTCTGTTTCTGTCTACAGTCTCAGCTTTTTGTTTCTGTGGCACAAATGCAGCCTCATTCTCTTCTTAATAAGGTTGTAGTGTGCACAGGGTAGATACTGAGTAAACAGACAATTTGATTAATGCATAACAAAATTAAGTACAAAGGAATAATTATACCAAAATTATATCTTTACTTTGGAGACATCCATTAACTTCTTTCAATGTACCAATCACCTTAATGTTTACAGACTATGGCAACTGCGGATCCATAGGACTCCAAATTGTTACGGAGAAAGATGTCAGACAATCTGAAGCAGTGTTTAATCCACTCCCCTCCTGAATCTCTCTCTCTTGCTGTCACCCTCAAGCTCTCTCTTCTCCAAATTCTCTGGCTGACATTTTATCTCTTCATCTGTCCAAGTCTGCATCCAATTCTACATGAAATTTAAAATGTGTCACCATTCTTCCAGAAACCTCTTCTGTTGCTTTTATAAATGTGTCCATCTACTGCCATGAATAAGCGGTGCAAGATCATCCCTGAATAGACGGTATCGATTCACTAAACCCTGAAGATTGCTGACCTTTTTAAAAAGAGATTCCCACTGCACAAGATATTTTACCAAGTGACAAGGACTTCTGTGCACTGACATGAAATCAGTACCATTTAAATTGAGCACATTTCTTAGGGAGATGGTTGGCTACATGGCAGTCAGAGACTGTACCGAGTGAAATGAGAGGCACTCTGAGTGATTTCAGTTGTGTTTTTCTGGAAGGAAGAGAAATAAATCAGGTAAAAAATAGATTGCCATGTCCTAAGTTGAATCTAAAATCAACAAAGGAATTAATTTAAGCCAATATTGATATAGTTTGACTATACTGAAAAGTATCTTAGGTATGATGTAGAGACATGATTAATATAAAACACTAATTAGACTGAATGAGTCAAACTACTATGAAGAACTAAGGCTTGAAGGTACATCTGACTTTGAGCCAAAGATCGGAGTTCTAGCCTACATCTGTCACCTGTGAAATTTACTTCCCCCTCATGTCTTTTTTTTTTTTTCAAAATAAAATGAGTGGATTTTGAACTAAATGGTGTCTTTAGTCTTGTCTAAACTTAGTATTCTCTGTCTATGCAGATCAATAAATAATGATTATTGTGCTAACAGACTCATTGAAGCAAAAGTGTTACATTTACTCAAGAAATAGTTATCAAGCAGGTAGTAGGTAGAAAGCTTTTTTAATGTATGCTTAAAATGAAAGTGTTCATCAAAGGAAATGAGTTTAAAACATCTGTACAACCTCCCAGTAGAGAAGTCTCAATGACCTGTGAAATAGAAGTGAAGAATTCAAGAGAAAGTATGAACATGGAACTGTTGGTTCGTGAGTGGTAGACTCTCACTTCCCTCCAATTAGTGCTTTCATTTGCACTCCAAACCCATGAAAATCTGAATAGTAAAATAGTACAGGGGCATTGTGGTTAAGCAACTCATGGCTCCATGGTCTGCTCTTAGAACTATTGAGTCTAAAAGCTCAGAATATTTCCATTGAGTTTTAATTCTCCAATACATATACCTTTTCTTTTACTTGTCAGCTCTTCTCCATCACTGTGTTTCTTTCATCTCTCATTTAAAAGGTTTTGTAGCTATTGAAATGATTTCTCAAAAGTATATGTGTAGCACAAATCTTAAAAGGTCTTATTAATAAGAACAAACCTGGAGCCAGTATTGGGGTGAATGCTGGAAGATCAGAGAAGCAGAACAAGCTACAGCCACCTCACCTTGCCCATTCCTCAGCTGATCCTGTTTCCTCAGACTGGATGCCTCTCAGCTGAACTGTGCTGCCCAAAAGCCTAAAAGCTTAACCAGCCCTAGGTTCTGGTTTTCATGCCTTATATACCTTTCTGCCATCACTTCCTAGGATTAAAGGCATGAGTGACCATGCTGGCTGTTTCCAGTGTGGCTTTGAACTCACAGAGATTCGGATGGATCTCTGCCTCGCAAGTGATAGGATTAAAGGTGTGTGTGCCACCATTTTCTGGCCTCTATGTCTATCTAGTGGCTGTGTTCTCTGACCCCAGATAAGTTTATTAGGGAGCACAATATTTTGGGGAACATAACATCCCCACATATATGTATTTCATGAAAGAAAAATTATTTTAGTAACCTAAGAAGATTAACCAACAGTGATGTTATATCAACCATCTGTCAGTGACATGTTCTTACAGAGATGTTTCTGTAGAGTACAGGTTGTCAGGGTATTAAAATTACTGAGGAGAACTGTTCTGTCCATATGAAGACCTTCCTGGCTTTGTAGTTGCATGCTGTAAAACATCTTCACATTAGCTTGGTACTCTTCTCCTTCCTTCTGCTTTTGGCACAGATACAAACAAGAAGTCACATGGGCATTCCTTAAATTACTCAAAGACATCCATCATCAGTCCTTTATAAGAGTGTGTGTACATATATAATCAAAACTATTTTCATCTTAATGGTATATCAACAAGATTTTTATTCCAGGTTCAATTCAAATCAATACATCAATAAGCACATAATATAGTTACTATTTCTCTCAAAATCCCTCATTTACTGAATACACTTTTTCTTCTCTTCTCTCCTCTTCTCTCTTCCCTCTCCATGACTCTCCTGTCTTCTCTTTTCCTGTGTTGCCCCCTAAGCATTCAGTTAAATATTCCCAATTAAATATTCTCAATAGAGTTTAAAAGACATACAAGAGTAAGGAATTCATTTATGAATGAATAATAAAAATGTTGAGGACCTAATATGTGTGAAAACAGTTCAACTTTTGAAAATATG